ATATATATATATATATATATATATATATATACATAAATATACATGTATACATATATATAATATTAATATGTAAAATATATATTAATATATATATATATTTATATTATATGCCTAATATATGCTTATTGTCTATAAAGTTATCACATTCATATATTATGTTTTCAGTTTGTATGCTTGTACATTTTTTAATAAGGTCGAGAGTGCAGAATCTCTTTACTAAGTGGTGACCTATCTGTATAAGCTAGCATGAATAACTGAATCAGACAATCAAAGACAAAACTCTAGAAGAATATTGATTGCAAGCCAAAAATCTATTTTTACGGAATAAATAATTCAATTTAATATACGATAACAATGTTTCGTTACGTTTCGTACGATTTGTAGCGTTGGGCATATTTACCAATTTCATTTCCAAATGTTGCTTGAATATTGCATCTCCTTGATCCTTTTCAATGAGTGCGCATTCGCGGCGTTTGAATTTTATAATGCAAAACAAGGATCGACACAAAGTGACTGACTGTACATATATACTTTTATGCCATTCCACTGCCATAGCCAAGGCCACGTCCACCTTTTAGGTTTCCACCAACAGCTATATTAATTTAATCTCTACTGCACAGGAACTGCACTATTACAAAACTAAAGTACGTAGTAGAATAACAAGTAATAACAGATGTCGTTTATCAAACGGGTGTGATAATAAAAATATAACAGCATTCTCAGTTAACGCACAACAACCTGCGTTGATATATAGCAGAACTCTTCATTAAATTATCATCGAAACAATCTTTGCTAAAATATGTTCAAATTCTAGATTGAAATCTAACAACACAATTCGTGAGAAACGTTATGACATTGCCCATCGCACTCAACAGAGGCTCAACTGCCGTACCATTATTTGATTTTTTAAATTTAATACAACAACATCACCGAAAGCAAAGCAATCATCGAGGCTTTCTGCGAATAGGCATAACTCACCCGAAAACCAACAAATGTTGCTATTCCGTAAATCTACACGCCATCACATTCCATCCAGGGTCTCAACCTAGTGACGACGACGGTGAATTTACACAGAAAAATATTATGTTTATCTTCACACATGCAGAATGTACAGGATGTACAGTGAGTGCGTTTACATTCGGGCACGTAAAAAAGTGCCGACGTCATAGAATCACGATAAATATCAAAGGTGAATAGCGGACACGTTAGGGAGATGCCACCTCTGGAGCGACCCTTGCCCCCTCGAAACAATCTCACATCCGTGATCATATCACGCCTTGCAGGACCGACACAAGGATCCAAGAACTCGCCGAATTTTCACGGAAAGTAGTTGTAATCGACCTGTATCGGGTTGCGCATGTAACAAGGGGTTGGGCAGCCGCTGAAGATTACACCATTCCCTTCACGAGGGTGAGAACCTATCAGTTGAACGTGGCACGGCCCAGCCTGCAGGGAACGGCAGCTACTAATGATTACGATCTTCTTCCGTTTCGTCGTCGAATTCAGTTCCGGGTCACTATCCCATTGGGTGGGGTCAATTCCGCAGCGTAGCGCTGTCTATCGTCTGCGCGCGCTGCCATCTTGTGCGTGCATTATTCCGAAGGAAGGGTTGCTATGGTTACGAGCGTTACGGTGACGCCTGGCACGGTTATTGATGCATACACCTACGGGTTCCACACCGTGACGTGACATTTTGTCCTAAATCGGCATCTATGTTCTTCTGTGGTGGAAGAAGGGAGGAAGGTGGTGACCATTTCTGCAGGGAAAATAGAGACCGTACGTAGTATAATACATGGAAAAATAATAACAATAATAATTAATGTATTGGGAGTAGTATGTAGTAAGTAATAAAGTCCTAATAATTAATTGCTATCCCATGCCACCTTCTCATGAACGGGTAAGCAGCTATCAGGAAAAACGTTGTGGTATTAAATGTAAAATATCGGGTATTATAGGAGCATACACACAACTCTGTTAATATTATTAATTATCCGACCTTTCAGTGATTACAACAAAATATCAGTACGAAAAATTCTTATCGTGCGTAAATAAACACAGTCGCCATCTTGTGCGCACATTTTTTCTAGAAGAAGAAGTTCCAGTCCTCGTTTAATCCGCTGCATCTTAGTGGGCCGATAGTGTGATAACCTTCCTCCTTCTCCCACTCTTCGTCATTCGTTGATCCTTAAACAAGCAAGCGACAAGTATTGACGGCGGCAGTCGCATAGAAGACTGGGTGCGACCGCCGCGCCGTCTCCCGGCGTAAGTCGGTCGACACCAGACGCATCACGCACCCCAGTGCGATCATGAGACGACCAAAAAATTCGAATAAAAACTTTAATGAAACTCTAACCGATAAAATCATAGATTACGAAATCATTAATTATGTTTTAATTTGCGATGAAGAATATCAAACCGTAAACTATTTGTATCTTTCACTGTACAGATGAAGTTTTAGAGCAACAATGGGTATAAATTTGAGACACCCGAGCAAGATGGACGGCGAAGGAACTTTAACGTTCTCGATACATTGCTCGGCACGACCCGCTCCGATACCGTAAAACTCAAATTATCCTTGCAAGTATCCAATCACTTTTACACGCGTCTGGACATGGACTAGACTATGCTGAAAATCACCTCAACCGCGATAAGCAGAAAACAAACTTTTTTAAACAATAAAAGCTGTTCGTTATATTGCAAGCCACTAGAAATTTCCATCTTTTGAAGTACGTAACTTGGTAACGAAGGGATAGATTTCTGATAGCTAGGTACATCATGTTCACAGTCATTCCTATACATTCCTATATTATTATCTGTGTTGGTACCTTATGCTAGCGATCGCACACAACTTGAAGCTTGATCAAAGATATAATTACTTTCAGAGATCACCTATCCTACACCATGTGAGTCATTCCCGGATATCACTCATAGCTTAGGACAGCTTTCTCTAACCCTCATAACGCTCTCCTTCTAGTAATCGACTCACTATACCCGTAATCTTAAACTGTATTTCTTATCTGTAAAAAACAAAATGTCTACGCGCGATTGCGGGTCGGGGGGAGGAACACTTGTATGAGATGGTGACACAGTAACTCGTCATCAAACACCAAAGTGTCCGAAGCACGGAAACCGTAACATGATCACGTAGTGCAAGCAGTGGACGATGCATATGATTATATATACACGCACACACACATGTATATATATATATATATATATATATATATATATATATAATATCATATATATATATATATATATATATAGCACAGAGCAGAGTATCCCACACGATCGCCACGAAGAAAAATCTGCGTGGATGAAAAACCAAGCAGACGATAGCATTCGCAAATTGATAACGCCATTCCATGCAACATCTTCTATGAGTACGGCTCGCAGCGGAGCACAGAAAAATGCGCATACAATGCGATCAATCTCAGGCCGACTTACGGTGCAAAAGTGATGGATCGATTCAATAAAAGTTGTCCGGGTTAAAGCCAGTACAAAAAAGAGGTCCGACAGATGCGTATCCTTCTTCCCCAACTTGACCTTTATACAAAATTGTTCTACTTTAGAGTAAAGCAGCGCAAGCAGAGAAACACGCCGATATGCACAAAAACGCATCTACGCTAGTCAGTCAGCGTAGCATGTAGATGCGTTTCTGATATCACGTTTATTGGGGGACAAGCGTAAGCGGCCGCACGCTAACGCCCAGGAGCCGTGGCTCGAAAGACGTCAGGCGTGCCTTCTCGATTTTTGCTGTGCCGAAACTGCAACAGTGCCAGAGGGATCAAGCTCTATGTTCCTAACAGCGTTTTCCGCCCTTCCAACGCCCGAAGTCGAAACGGCCGAAAAGCACTGAATCCCCGAGTGGGATTGTTTGCTTACCTTGACCTTTAAATGACGTACGCCCGCATATAGAATCGAGAAGTGTCATGAGTGTCGCACTTAATTATCATAATAAAGATGACGAACGTTCTGCATATAAATATTACGCGTATGTCTTATAGGTGAGATGAACGATGAGTGGGAAACGGAGGCAGACATGAGGAACTGCTGAGATTATCACAATCATCGCGAAAGCCTTAGTATATATATATATTATATTATTAATATTATATATATATTATTAATATTATATATATATTATTATTATTTAGTATAGTCATCAGCTGGGCTAGAGCCAATATAGCACATAATAGTCCGACATCCCAGAGAAATGTAGCATCAGAGCATGTCCTCTCTGGGCGGACACCGGAGATGGTCTACCTGGTTCATGACACTGTTGTTGGGCAAATACAATAGTAAAGCTGTTTCTCGAGCCGACGCCATTCAGGGAATAATAGTGTAAAAATTATTTAATACGTATATCCGGAATCCACAGAATTAAGTGTGATCGGAATTCCGAGTTCGCCCGGATTTTCGCTCATCAAGTAGTACAGTAATGTTGTAATAGTGAATATCGTAACAGGAGCATAATCTAGCACAAGGTTTAATCCGATGATGGATATACGGAAGGGATTAGCTTTAGCGGTCATATATTTGAAAGTTGAAACGCTGAAAATATTGCTTGCATGAGTAACAGGTTCTTATTAGCAAAGTTGTGTTGATGCATCGTCCGCCATCTTCTTCGTTCAACATGATTCAAACGAAAAATATTGCTTCTAGCGACAATACCGCGCCCGCGAATACACAACAAGCGACCGGCAATTGACTATTGGCAAGCGACTTGGCTGGACCGCTGTACGTGTAAAAAGCAAGGTTAGTAGCATAGGAATTGCACACACAGCTTTGCTACATTCACGAGAATTCTGATTGGCATACCGTTTCTCGATTTTATATATATATACAGTCTATACACACACACACGCACACACGCGCACCCGCACACGCACGCGAACGCATGCGAACGCACGCAGCCACACATACACACACGCGCGCACGCACACACATGCACACGCGCGCACACACACACACGCACACGCACACGCACGCGCAGCCACACACACACACACACACACGCGCACGCGCACGCACACGCACACGCGAACGCACGCAGCCACACACACACACACACACACACACACACACACACACACACACACACACACACACACACACACACACACACACACACACACGGCACACACACACACACACACACACACACACACACACACACGTGCTCACACACGCACGCGCGCACGCACACAAGTGTGTGTGTGTGTGTGTGTGTGTGTGTGTGTGTGTGTGTGTGTGTGTGTGTGTGTGTGTGTGTT